TGATTTAAATAATTTGAAGGAGTCGACTCGTTTAAGCTAACATAGTCCTCTTGCTGCAACCAGGATTTTGTGAGAGAGAGCAAAGAAATCTGATTATCACAAATCAAGTCATTAACTAACAAAGTCTTAGAAAAAATAGATCTAATGTTCAATAACCCACATTTAATTTTTCTAGTTTTCTGCTCAGTTGAGTTTGTTCTAATATTTATGAGATTTCCATGATTTGCTTTATTAAGCCTGATATTTAATCTGTGTGATTTTGGCCGTGGGCAGGACACTGTCTCTATGGGGTAGTGGGTGGGTAACAGTACAGAAGCTGCAGAGGGGTGTGTTAAACTACGACTCTGCTTCCTGGTCTGGACCCTGGGTAGTCATGGAGGACTAATAAAACTGGCCATGTTCCTAGAAAGAAGAGCTGCACCATCCAAAGAGGGATGGATGCCGTCTCTTCGCATCAGACAGGGTTTTCCCCAAAAGGTTTTCCTATTATCAATGTAGCCCACGTTGTTTTCAGGACACCACCTAGACAACCAGCGGTTGAAGGACAGCATGCGGCTAAACATGTCGTCACTGGTCCGATCAGGCAGGGGGCCAGAGAAAATTACGGAGTCCGACATTGTTCTGGCAAACTTGCACACTGAAGCAACATTAATTTTAGTGACCTCCGATTGGCGTAACCGGGTGTCGTTACCGCCAGCGTGAATAACAATCTTACTGTATTTACGCTTATCCTTAGCCAGCAGTTTCAGATAAGATTTAATGTCGCCCGCTCTGGCCCCAGGTAAACATTTAACTATGGTTGCTGGAGTCTCTAATGCCACGTTTCTGACTATGGAGCTGCCAATGATCAGAGTCGGCTTGTCAGCGGGTGCATCACTGAGCGGGGAAAATCTGTTAGAAACGTGGACGGGTTGGTGGTGACCCACGGGCTGAGTTCTATGCTTCCTGCGTACCATCACCCAGCCGGCCTGAGGTCCCGGCTGCTCGGGTTCTGCTGGAGGGTCGCTACAGGGTGGTTCTGAGCTAGTTAGCCCCGCACTAGCTAAGTAGCTACGGCTGTTTACAGGCTTTTCAACAGCGTGGAGCCGGGCCTCCAATTCCGACACCCTCGCCTCCAAAGCTACAAAAATGCTACATTTATTACACGTACCATTATCACTAAAGGAGGCAGAGGAGTAACTAAACATCTGACACAGAGAGCAAGAGATAGGAAACGGAGAAGCAAAGACAGAAGTAGCCATAGCCGTGCTGAGGCTAAGCTAACTGGACAGCAAACTGTTCAACACCAAATAAACTGCGTGCGAACTCAAATGGTTCCCTAAAAGCTAGGTGGAACAACAGAAAATGTGTGTTTTAGCGTGCTTATGTGCTACAATAACTCAGAGATATCTTAGTACATAGAAATTAAATCAGTTTTAGCAAGCCACAAACACCAAACAGCTACACGTAGTGCAACACTGAAAACAGGAAACGCCTTACCGCCAGGGAGGAGGAGCTTTGTCTTCAGATCAGCAGATAGCTTGCTGTGTGCGCCTGATTTTCACTGAGTTTTCTGCCTCACAAGACGTTGAGGTGAATATCTGACCGGCTTGATATTTTTCACCTCACGGGGGGTAAAAACTCTGTGTGCGCACTGTATAAGCTGCTGCAAAGCTGAAATAGCGCGTTCTCCGCTCACATGACCCCAAGATTGCAGCCCCCTGTCTGCATGTCAGAAAATGAACAAAACAGAGCTGGAAACGGAGGAAATGCCTCTACTTTTTTTGTTGATGAGGCGTCGCTGCCACCATCATATAAAGGTTAGGAAAGTACGGGTGCGGTGGCAGCAAAGACGGGCCAGGCAAGGAGTTTATGTCAATCTACTCCAAGAGATGCACCTTGAAAACCCAGAATGCTTCTGACAGTACCGCCGCCTGGATCCTGAATCCTTTAAGACGGTAGTGGAGACAGTGGGCTCATCGATCCTTAAGTTACAGTTTTGTTGATTAGTCTGACATGCAGACAGGGTAGGGGCTGCATCTGACTACATCTTGGAATCATGTGAGGGGAGAACGCACTTTGATTGGCCACTAGAATATTTCAGCTCAGCCAGCAGCTCACACAGCGAGTTTTTACCCCCCATGGGGCGGAAAATATCAAACCGGTCAGATATTCACCTCAGCGTCTTGTGAGACGGAAAACTCTGTGAAAATCAGGTGCACACAGCAAGTTTTCTGCTGAGCAAATGGTCATTTGAGGTCATTTGCTCAGCAGTTTGCTCTCATGTGCGGCAGGCTTAAGTCTCCTCCTTTTCTGGTCGGCTCATGGGCCCCCGGAAGAACGAAATAAAAAATGAATGCAAGTCAACGGGGATAAAAGAGCTATTTTCTAACCCGCTTTGCCTTAGGCCCTGGATCACACATATGTTGCACAGTACTTCAATTTTAATGAAAAGTAATGATGTTTTGACCACATTAGTCACGTACTTTGAGATTTATCAGCTTGTTAAAGTTTGTGATTAGCATGATTACAAATCGGACGTCGGTACATCGCATATATGACGTCATAATCTCCTCTCCCCTAACGTAGCCGCTACTTACCACATGGCCAGATCTTTGGTGGTTCTTTCATTTTTTTGCTGAACTTACAGCCATTTGCCTTCTCTTTTACTCTGTGTCTGGTTCGATGACATCACTTTGGCTATGTACGTTTGTAGTCCTGGACTTATTGTCACACAAAACCTAAAATAACATTTCCCCCCATTCAAAAATAGGCAATTTCTTGGCATCAAAATGACTCTTTAAAATTCATGGACATCATATGGGAAATCCATGGTAAGTGACAAGTGGAATTAGAAAAGAGTGTTTTTAGCCCCATTTGACTTGCATTCATTTTTTTGACCCATGGTCTGGAAGTAGATGGGTGTATGCTCGAAATAATATCATAATAAAAACACCACAGTGAGACACAAGGTTAGTTTGGCTTTGCTAAGGAGAAAGGTTACAGGGTCGCTGCCTAAAACCTTTCTGATTTGTTCTTTTGTCCACTCAGCCTTTAATTGAAGTTTCTTAGTCGCACACAAAGCAGACTGAGGCAGTTCCAGTCAGTAGATACAGACACCAATCAACCTCTCCTTCTCACCCAAGGGCCGTTCTTGGTGTGAGCTCACAAACTAATGAATATTTTCAACAGAGTGACTTAGGCTCCCTATTGCACCAAGATCAATGGATCAGCACAGAGACCACCCCCATACCCCCTTTATGCCGCACTCACCTAATCTTTTTTTTAAAAGGACATGATCAGGCCTCATTACTGCCACGGTTTGACCACTTATAAATGACCTAACTCTAATTGACGGCATTGTTTTGTAAAAACGGCTTGTATGACGTTCATGTGAGATTAAAGAGACTAGACCAGACAGGCCACTTCCCTCAGGGTTGATGTCAACATAGAAATGTTTCCCGTGTTAGTACAGCAGGACGACCGGCTGGCGCTAGTTCTTGATCTTTACCATGAGTAATTATCTCTCGTGAACGTTGGCTGTGCAACACTCAAACCAGGCTTTCTGGTGTTTCTATGATTCATGAGAAGCAGGGCATGATGTGGGGCTTGCCGGTTTCCTGTTAATTCCTGTAATAAACCATGTGCCAGTCAATGGGGACCAATAGGGACGCAACTAAACTGGCAAGCATCAGCTTCACACCAAGAACAACAGACTGGTGGAGACCTGCACAATGGTGTAGTTGTATTTGTTTTTATGCAGAAGGGATCAGGCTCCATGTATCTTTATAACCTGATGACATGGCAGCAGTGTGTGTGTGTGTGTGTGTGTGTGTGTGTGTAAAAGAGAGAGAGAGAGAGAGAGAGAGAGAGAGAGAGAGAGAGAGAGAGAGAGAGAGAGAGAGAGAGAGAGAGAGAGAGAGAGAGAGAGAGAGAGAGAGAGAGAGAGAGAGAACACAGGATATACAGCAGTCACATCTTAATTGAAAACAGGGAACTGACGAGTATAACAGGAAGCGGTTAAAGTCTTGCCTCAGCATTCAGAGTAGTGCAATTATGTACTTTTTTTCCTTCTATTTGAGTATATTTTATTTATGTTTAGATTTTTCAAGTTTTTTTTTCTTTAAAACAATTTGTTATAATGTTTTCAAGCAATTTTTGTTCTGTCACTTCATTTCTGATCTACTTTTGTTCAGAGAAATGAGCTGGGAAGTTTTTTTAATATATATAAATTAAAATGACTGAATCACTGTCATTAAATGATGTTGTGTTGAAGTCATTTATAGTGACTTCCCATTCATTAATAACGTATCCTAGGCCTAATATTGAGCAACAGGACTCAGAGTTGTCCACACGAAATGCAGGGGCATGTTGGATCAAAGGGACCTTTCAGACTTTCTGAGGTGTGTTTCTGAGTAAATGTAAGGTCTCTAGGTAACCATTGTGGAGCATTACCTGAATGGCCTTATTCTGGAGAAATAGCTTATAGCCTTCAGGACTGATGAGCTAACAGCTAGTTAAATCACAGCCAAGATAAAAGGTTGTTTCTGTCATCTTAAAACAGATTCAATTATTTCATTAAGGTTTCTGCAATTTTATTTTAAAAACCTTTACTCTCTTGTTTCAAGGTTATTTACATAGAATTCTGTGGTTTTATATAGAAACATAAATATCAGCAACAAATATATGTAGGACCTGTAGTTCAAGGTGCTGTCTTTGCCTTTTTTACAAGAAAAGGTGCCATTTTCATTCAATTAGGAACTGGTTTTACAGAAAATCTCCAAACTAAACAATAGTAAAAATTAACCTACAACAGATAAAATGATAAAAACATATTTTAATGCATCCATGGGTCAAGTTCAGCAAGAGGTTCTTCATGTTACAGAAAAAAAACTTGTAAGGATAGAGGTGATAAAGGTTTATTTATAAGTACTGAAAGACATAAATGCTGTTTCTCTGAACAGAGGCTGTTCGACACGCTCTCCACAATGGATGAGAAAATCAGTGTTTACATGTTTCACACAAAAATCCCTTTAATATTGTTGGATGGAAGGGAGTAAAATCAGATTAAAGCTCCTGATTCACAAAACTCTTCAATTAAAAGTAAACTGGTTTGAATATTTTAGCTCATCGTTAGACGGCCAATCCTGGCTCACGGTGGTCGTAAACACACCCTGATGGAACGCTAAACACCATTAGATACATAAATATAAATATTTCTTTGTTAAAATAAATAAATATTTTACTGTTTTTACTCTGCTGAAGTTGTTTACTACTGGTCTTACATCCTGCAGTGCTGCTTGTAACAACCCTAGAATGCGTCTTTCGTCATGACTACTGGGTCCTTCTTGTGGGGGATTTTTTTTCTTGGATGACAAATCCACACCACACTTCCTCTTTTGTCCATAAAAGGAGTCTTTGTGTGAGTCAGCTGTTCAGAAGAACACATCGTTGCTCAATACGGCCATTTGTTGGTCTATATAACACCTGCCTCCAGGTGGAAGACACAAGTTCCACTTCTCAAGGAAACATGAAGACCTTCTCTCTGAGCGTGCTCCTGGGCCTGGCAGCTGCGGTTTGCTGCATGCCACTCTCACAGGACAACATGGAAGAAGAGCAGTTTGCAGAGGTATGTGTGTCTGACTGGAGCTGGGATCCAACCAAACAGCTGAAAATGTTGATGTTCTACTTCTGCACTGGTTGTTTTAAATCTCTTTTACCCTCCATCAGAGCTATCTGAAGAAGTTTTACAACCTGACAGAAGAAACCGGCCCATTGCTCAGAGGGGGAGTCAGCCCCAAGACCAAGAAGCTGATGGAGATGCAGAAGTTCTTTCAACTCCAGATAACTGGCACCCTGGATGCTGACACCCTGGACCTGATGAAGAGGCCTCGCTGTGGAGTTCCAGATGTGGACATCGCTCAGTTTTCCACTTTTGGAAACAACCTCAAATGGCAGACCAACACTCTAACCTACAGGTAAAGAATCCGCTAGCTAGACAGTTTATCTGAAGAAAAACGGACCAATCTGTGGTCTGAAGGTTTTTAATCCCTGAATTTCTACAAATATCCCACAGGATAGAGAACTACACACCGGACATGTCTCAGGCAGAAGTGGACTATTCCATCGAGAAAGCTCTGCAGGTCTGGGCCAAAGTCACTCCTCTGAAATTCACAAGGATCTACAGTGGAATTGCTGACATCATGATCTCCTTTGGTAGTAGAGGTGAGGGCAAAAGAGTTAACTCATATGATCAGTTGTTGATCAGGTGAATTCAGGAATATCATTAGAAGTTTTGTACAGCCAGCTTTGTTCTTATGAGTGTGTTCTTCTCAGATCATGGAGATTTTTACCCCTTTGATGGTCCTGATGGGACTCTCGCTCATGCCTTTGCTCCTTCCTCTGGCATTGGAGGAGATGCTCATTTTGATGAAGATGAGAAGTTCACGTTCCGCTCAAACACAGGTGGGTCATCCTGCCAGCCTCTCCCCAAGTCTCGGGTCATCCTCTGGGGCACGGCTCACCCTGGAGGAGCTGCACTCTCATTGGTCTGTGTTCATCTGCTCTAGGCTACGTCCTCTTCATGGTTGCTGCTCATGAGTTTGGCCACTCTCTGGGTTTGTCCCACTCTGATGATCCTGGTGCACTCATGTACCCCCACTACTCCTACGGAAACCCTGACACCTTCATTCTGCCCAGGGATGATGTCAAAGGCATTCAGTCCCTCTATGGTTGGTATCCAGATCACTGTTGCCTCTTCATCTTTAGTTTCATGTGACTCATGTGGAATGCATGGTTGAAACAGGTGGAAACGAGGAGCCTATCGCACCCGGGCCTACCGCCCCCACCACCCCTGATGCTTGTGATTCCACCATGGTCTTGGATGCTGTCGCCACGCTGAGAGGAGAGATGCTCTTCTTCAAAGACCGGTACTCTACAAACTCAGAAAATGATTTTTTTTTTTTGAGTAATTAAAACCTTTTCTGAGCTGGTTCCTGATCTCATTTCTGCTTCTTCGTAGTTTCCTCTGGCGTCACTCCCAGCAGAGTTCCACTCCTCAGCAGACTCTCATCGCCAACATCTGGTCCAGTGCTCCTGACAACATCGATGCTGCGTTTGAGAGTCTAGAATCAGACCAAGTCTTCCTCTTTAAAGGTATTTGCTCTCCGAGTCCCTGTTGTGTGATGCTATTTAATGTTTCTTTACCAGTTTCACTACATTTTCTGCTTTTCATTTCCTCAACAGGCAGTAGAGTTTGGGCTTTCAGTGGCTATGATCTACAGCCTAATTATCCCAAAACCATTACCAGTTTTGGTTTACCCAGAACTGTGAAGAAAGTAGATGCTGCCCTTTATGAGCCACAATCTAGGAAGATATTCTTCTTTGTTGGAAAGAACTACTACAGGTGAGTTCAGACAACATCAGAATCAACCAAGGTGGATTACTTACACACGGTTAAAAATAAAGAAAGAGATATTTGGTGTTTTAAAAACAAGTGGCTGTCTAATGTGTTTCCAGCTATGATGATGTGAGGAAGACGATGGACAAGGGGTTCCCCAAACGAGTGGATGAGACCTTCTCTGGCATGACCTCCCAGGTGACGGCAGCACTACAGCACAGAGGTGGGAAGGATTGATCGAGTCATTGTGACTTGTCTGCAGCATTTCTGCTTGATCTCAGTGCTTTTATGGAACTAACCTGAGGCGTGTTTGTCCTGCAGGCTTTACTTACCTTTACAGCGGACCCTACATGCACGAGTACAGCCTAAGGTCAGGGAGGTTGTACCGTGTCCTGAGGAACAACTACTTCCTGCCCTGCAGTAACCTCTGATCTGTCTAAAGGAACATTCAAACACAACCGTGATGCAGAAATGTTCTTGTCTTTAGAAACTAAATGTTTATGAGAATATTTTTATTCAGCCTTCATTTATTCTAACTTTAAGTTAATATTGTCAACCCAAAAAGTTTTTATTGTCTTTTATTGATCATATTTGTTTGATGAAAGTAAATGAAATGTTCATTGTTGTAACTAACTTTTTGCAAGAAGTTCATGTATTTAATTTAAAATAAAGTTACATAAGTTATTTGGGATCACTGGCATCTTTTAGTCGTAACTATATCAAACTTTGGGATTTCATTATTTAGTTCATGTTCACACACACACACACACACACACACACACACACACACACACACACACACACACACACACACACACACACACACACACACACACACACACACACACACACACACACACACACACACACACACACACACACACACACACACACACACACACACACACACACACACACACACACACACACACACACACACACACAGCATTATTTTAGAATCATTTGAAAAACTAATTTAACTACATTGAACTACTTCTGTAGTAATTTAATCTCTTATTCTTGAGTAAAATTAAGAATCAGGCTAAATCATCACATATCTGTGACATAATTTCATTTCATTTCTTTGTTTATAGAGTGCCTTCCTGCTGCCAATCAAGGCAGCCCAAAGCGCCGAAACAGCAGGGTGAAAACAAACATTAAAATAAAAAGTAAAAGTACCGCACATGAGTTCATGTTATGTACCAAAGCAATAAAACCCTAGATTAAATCTCGAGTTCAGTTGATACAATCAATCTTAAATCCAGTGGAAGGGCATGTCACAATTTTGGGGCAAAGGCGGTAAAAGCTCGATTTCCGCGACTTTTACGCTGGGTTTGTGGAACAACCAGTAGGTTTTTTGGCAGCGGAGCACACCGATCTTGAGGGGGCGCGTTTCTGCAGTAAGGTTGGTTTATGCTTGACATGTCCGCGAGGTTCGCACGGCTCCGTGCGGCAAAATTGCGTCATTTTAACAACCACGCCCCTCCACCTGGCCTCCGCACGGCCCAAACTTTCCACACCGTGCACCTAGGAAATTTTCTAGCCACGCGGACATCGAACATGGAAAAACATGGCGGACTGGCAAGAACTAGTTATGGCAGAGGTTCGTAAATACAGACATTTGTACGATTCAGCTCTCAAAGATCACCGTGATCAACATGTTGTTAATAATTCTTGGAGAGAAATAGCTCGCACTGTCGGAAAAGACGAGGACACTGTTAATAAATACTGGAATGTCATGTTGTAAACAGTAATTTTTACTTCTACTGTGGTGTCGTGTTGGATGCATGCCATAGAGCTCCAATCTGCCCCCTACAGTTTGGGAGAATATTGGCTCACCACAGAGACAAGCCGCATGAACCATAAACGCTGCAAGTTGTGAAGGGTTTTCCATCCGCGAGCCGCATCACCGCGCGGAAAGTAAATGCGTCAAGCATAAACCAAGCTGTAGTGATGATAGATAAAGATTGGTTTATGCTGCTGTTTTGCTCTATAATGACACCTACTGGACTTTAAACATCATTGCAGGCAACTTACTGGAGACACAACGGACACTGATTCAATGACCTAATCATCCTTGTATACACTGTAAGCTATTGTAGGCCTACTTTATATGGTATTATTTTAAACTTCAACATTTAAAATATATACACCTCAAAATAGTCTGTGAATGACACCAAGTGACAATTAAAGTGACAGTGTTGTGAATGTGATATTACCCATTTCAGTGTCATTGACTCAAAAGTTTTTTTATATATATATATTTTTTTTATTCAGAAAAATAAGTTTATCCAATGTTTTGGCATTTAGTCTATTGTGTTTTTTGAACACTACTTCACCAGCTTTTGAAAACATGTTCACAGGGCACAGAAGAAGCTGGGGTACACAAAAACTGTAAAGCCAGGTGGAAAATGTTTGGGTAGGATGTCTTCTGGTTCCCCCAGTATGTTAATGGGTTTTCTTGTCTTGAAATGTTTCCCTCTGCTAAGTAGCGCTGGACCTCAATGATCGAGTCAGGTGTTGCATTGGTGGGTTTGTCTGCCAACCTCTTGATCAAGCTGCTGCCACAGATTATCTGAAATAATAAAAAATACATAGAAGTTTTAGTTTTTGTCTTCTACTCTGTATTAATACACATTAGCAACAAAACAAATGTGAAATTAAGCTGATAATACTGAACAACTTGCCTGAAGTGGGTAACTGCTCTGATGAAGGTCCAGGCTGTGGCTGCAGCACACTCCATTTTCAGGCGACTGACAGCCTCACTACACTTGGAGGAACTACGAAATCCGAGTGTTTTAAATCTGGGGTCGAAAAGTGTTGATAGGGTCAACACACTTAATGACTCCAGGTTAGAAGCAGTGTCTGTGACGCGACATCTAAGCTGGTCATGGAGATGTGTGGCTGCTTGTGTGTGTAGATGCGAAGAGTTCCGCTCAAGTGCACAATTTAGCATTTTCATCATCAGGATGACCTTTGATCCTGAAACTCTCCTCAGGCAACTCCACTGTGGCCTGATGGAAAGGGGCCAGCACAAGAAGTGCTTCCCTTAAGATGTTACACCCATCAGCTGTGAGTGGAGTTCAATCTGTTAGGAGAGAGGCAAGAGACACCCACACTGGTTCTCTCTCATCATGTAGCCGTGACAGCATCTGATATGTGCTGTTCCAACGTGCTGGCACCTCAGTGACAAGTTTCAAGGTGGGCCGTCCCATCTGTTGCTGCACTTGAGCAAGCTTCTCTTTTGCTGTGGTGCTGGATCTGAAGAATTATATGATTTGCCTAGATTTGTGTCTTATGGATGAAAGTTCAGGGATCTGATCACAGGATTTTTTGACTATTAAATTTAGTTTGTGTGCAAAATGCAGATTGAATGTCGAATTTGAAGAGTTCGTGTTGCTGCTATCATGTTTGGTGCTGCATCGGTCACAAGACACCTTACCTTATTTGTTATGGCCCAGTCATCCATCATGCCCCTTTTGACTTGGGCCAGAGTGTCAGCAGTGTGACTTTGTGGAAAGTGTTTGACTCCCAACACAGACGTACACAACTGCATATTATCACTGATGTAGTGACAGGTAAGAGCTAAGCCTCCATGTTCAAGGAGGTCCACGTATCAGCTGTTATACGCACTGCCACAGCTTGCTGTACTTCCCTTTTTACTCGTTCGAGTTCCTCCGCATGCTTTTTGGCCATCATTTCCTTAACCGTCTGAAAATGAATACACATCAAATCAGTCTAGTACTTAACACATTTATTAGACCACCTGTCATCAAAGCAAGAAAAACATCCAGCTATCAAGCTCTCTGTGTTTTGCCCTGCTGAATAGAAGGTAGGAATTTAAAACTGAATCCAGTTTTATACCCAAATGTGAGCTGACACGCTGGATGGAAATTATTCAAGCATGCATGATGTTTGAATCACAAGTGTTTATTTTTGTTTGCTGTGTCATAAACCTTAAATCAGACAATGGTCTAATACATTTGTTAAGCACTGTATATATTACATGGGTAACAGCAGCTATCTGAGACATTGTGTATACAAACCTTTCTGGTTGGCAAAACGTTAGATGGATCAAGGACCAGAATCAACCCCCTGAACCCCTCACTCTCCACAATGCTCAGGGGTTGGCAGTCCTTTATAATAAAATTCAGGACTGCTTGGTCCAGAGCAATCTTCCTAGATTCTAGATTTCAAAATAATAAAACATATATTAGTAAAACAGTTGTGAGAAAGCATGCCCAGTGTCTATACTATAGGTCTACCTGTGTCCGTTCTTGGTGTATTTACTTCCTCTTCGTTTTCATGCTTGACTGTAATGTCTCAGCATTGAGGATGTGCTCTTATTTGTGTAAGACAACTCCGCTGAGCAGATGCGACATTTAACCTAAATAAAATTAAATAAATAATTTACACTGAGAGTCAGTCACATTGCTGTTTTCAACTCTGACAGATGCGCAGAAACAAGGAAAGACAAACACGTACCTTATTAGCAAGTTAAAAGATCAAAATGATCCCACACAGCAGATACTTTTCTTTTTCTCTCCGGCTCCATTTTGTTGATGTAGAGAGGGATGTCTTGTTTTACCTTTGAAAACGTAAGTGATTCCCTCCCGTTGTTGACAGATGCAGAGTTGATACCTTATAAACACCGTTTGGCGCCTTGGCAATGAGCGACACAGCAGCAGCGTCGGTCACGTGACTTTTTCTTAAAGCAACACACGCATCGACACAGGTTTCGCTCCATGAGCTTGACACATGCGCCGGTCACCGGTGTGTCGGTGTTGCTGGACCCATCACTACTTGAGGGTGTGTTGTGTTAACTGTTTATACTGGTGATATGTTAGCCTGAAAGGCAATACTTAGAGATCAAATTCCCCTTCTTCCTTGCTGTGTGTTACGGTTAGTGGTAACGACCACGCGGGGATATCTCCTCCTGAGACGGCCTCTGGAGCAGTCACCTAACGGTTCCGGCGAGCATCGCCACAACATCGACAGAACCAAGGCAGTTTTGCGGCAAAAGTTACACTGCAAAAGGTAGCCGTGTGAATAATTGTTTCACATTAATTTGAGACAAATATAATTTTACAAGGGACGTGTCAATTATTAGTCAGCAATGCAGTGTTCAGTCATTAGCTCACTCGCAGCTAACAAGCTAACGTCACGCTAACCTAGCTGAATTAATGCGATCTGCTCTCTGATCTGTAAACCTCCACCATTAGAACGGCAGTAGCCTAAATCCGTGTCTGCTCCCTGTCAAGCTTCACTGTCCTCAACGGGACTTTCACCTTAATGCTCAGTTGGACTAAATTAGACAATCAACCAGAAGGTGCTTTGCTTGTTTTTGGGTTAAAACCTCGTATTTATTTAGCTTTTGAGTGAACCGCGCTGGTATCTCCTGCAGGATGAGCGGGGATGACCTGAACCCAGCTGCAATGGCTCAGCCTGTAGAGGATGTTCAAGGTGATGGACGCTGGCTGTCTCAGGTAAACATTCGCTTTTTAAAATCCCCATTATTGTGTTTTTTAAAAATGACGTGTCATGTTTGCCATTGAAGATGTTTGGAAAGCCTGATTTCAGTTCATAATTTCAACATTGTTTCAATATTTATTAGTTGATGTTGCATCCTGATCTGTGCACCACAATGTGCTCCTAAACATGGATCATTTGCATAACTCGTAAGTTTGCAGTGCAATAATTATCTAGTTTGTTTAGGCATCTACTGGCCGGTCTTTACAAGGTTAATCCCCTGAAGCTAATACATCTTAGATGGTCCGCTTTACTTCAAGCTCTCCACCAGACAGGTCCTGACCGGGATGAGCCCAAAGGATTTAGTGTGTGTTAGAAAGTCAGACGGCTCAGTCTTCTTATCCTCCTGTATTGATTTGCATAACTTTAACCTGATAAATCACAGCTTAGCTGCTCTGTTTCATAAATCTTAACTTTTGTTCTTTTACATATCCTGTTTGTCACCGTTGCTGCCTCACACCAATGATTTTCATGTGTGTTTTCAGCATTCAAGGTTTGTGCAGGAGTGCAAAGATGGGGAACCAGATGTCCTGTTTGTGGGGGACTCTATGATCCAACTAATGCAGCAGTTTGAGGTGAGAGGAGTAAAGCATGAGCACATAAAATATTTTATTGTCTCACAGACACGTAAAAGTAAAGTAAAAGCAGCAATCTGGAGTTTCCCATTTCAAGAATTATGAAATTTACTTTTTAGAAATGTGAAAAAGTGATAGTCTTACCCTGTACTGTGCTTGCTCCCCCCACATATCACATGGTCCTAGGTATTCTGAGCCTTTGTTGTGACACTCATATATTTAACTCTGGTGATTTCCATTTCTTCTGATCATCCTTGAGATGGTCCTATGCCTTCATTGGAGTCCAGCTGTGTTTGATTATACTGATTGGACTTGATTAGGAAAGCCACACACCTGTCTATATGAGACCTTACAGCTCACAGTGCAGTTCAGAGCAAATGGCAATCATGAGATCAGAAGAACTGCCTGAAGAGATCAGAGACAGAACTGTGGCAAGGCACAGATCTGGTCACAGTTCCAACATTTTTTTAAAAAGTGCACTTAAAGTTCCTAAGAGCACAATGGGCTCCATAATCCTTGAATGGAAGATGTTTAGAATGACCAGAAGCCATCCTAGAGCAGGCCGTCCAGCCAAACTGAGCTACCGGGGGGAAGAGCCTTGGTGAGAGAGGTAAAGAAGAACCCATAGATCACGGTTGCTGAGCTCCAGAGATGCAGTTAGGAGATGGGAGAAAGTTCTAGAAAGTCACCCATCACTGCAGCCCTCCTCCAGTCAGGACTTTATGGCAGAGTAGCTTGTCGGAAGCCTCTCCTCAGTGCAAGACACATGAAAGCCTGCATGGAATTAGCTAAAACACTCCGGAAGGACCCCGAGATTGTGAGAAATAAGATTATCTGGTCTGATGAGACCAAGATAGAACTTTTTGGCCTAATTCTAAACAGTACGGGTGGAGAAAACCAGATACTGCTCATCACTTGTCCAAATATAGTCGCCACGGTGAAGCATAGCGGTGGCAGCATCATGCCGTGGGGTGTTTTTCAGTTGCAGAGACAGGATGACTGGTTGCAATTGAGGGAACAATGAATGCGGTCAAGTCAAGAGATATCCCGGACAAGAACCTTCTCCAGAGTGTTCAGGACCTCAGACTGGGCTGAAAGTTTACCTTCCAACACTACAATGACCCTAAGCACACAGCTAAAATATTGGAGTTGCTTCACTGCCACTCTGACTGTTCTTGGACGGCCCAGCCAGAGCCCTGACTTAAAAATGGCCGTCCACCAACGTTCACCATCCAACCTGACAGAACTGGAGAGGATCCCCAGGTCCAGGTGTAAGAAACTTGTTGCATCTTTACCAAGAAGACTCGTGCCTGTGTTAGCTCAAAAGGAGCTTCTACTAAATACTGAGCAAAGGGTCTGAATACTTAGGAACATGTGATTTTTCAGTGTGTCTTTTTTAATAATTCGTTTTTCTGTCAATATGGGGTGCAGTGTGTACATTAATGAGGAAAAAAACATATTTAATTGATTTTAGCAAATGGCTACGATATAACTGTATTGACAGGGGTCTGAGTACTTTATGTATGTATAAGAATAAACGTGAGCATAATAATTGGAAAACAGGTAGGGAGAGGGGCTTATTGTGGAGCACATTATTTCTGCCTCCAGATGGTGCTCTCTGACAGAAAAGTCCAGAGTTTTGCATTAAAATTGGTTTTCTAATAATTGTTTACACTCGCGCCTTCCACTTCTTCAGGGAAACTATTCACGCTTAGTAATCTGGTCTTGAATTTTCTATAAAAATATAACCAAACGTGTGAAAATCTGAATGCCTTGTAAATAAAACCAAAACATTAAGTAACATCTGTTGATCAGCACTGATTACTAATTCTTCTATGTTCTGGAAGCTTTTATTTTTCAAGTTATATTCTCTTTTTCCAGGTGTGGGGGGAATGTTTCTCTCCTCTTCACGCTCTCAACTTTGGCATTGGGGGTGACACCACCTGTAACGTGCTGTGGAGGCTGCAGAACGGAGAGCTGGAGAACATCTGTCCCAAGGTTAGACCAGTCTGCAGCAACAGTTGGGTCCTCCTGAGACACCTTTGCTCCTGGACTCTTCCGTCTGACCAAGCTTTGTCAGACATTCAGACTAGAGTGTCAGCGAGGAGTAACAGTGTGTGTTTTTATCCAGGTGGTAGTATTGTGGGTAGGAACCAACAATTATGAGCACTCAGCAGAGCAGGTTGCTGGAGGAATTCTTGCCATTGCACAACTTCTCACCTCTCGCCTACCTAAAGCAAAGGTAGTTGTACTGGTAAGTTCAGTATGTGGCCTTTACAGGCTGTAAATACCTTTTAAAGTGAAGAAATTTTAAAAGTTGTGGTCCAGCCTGGACATGTCGTTTCTGAGAAGCAGCTAAAAAACATTGAGAGCATCTGGTGACGTAGAAAAGTTCTTGTCATTCGTGTTTTTAGCAGTTTATCGGTCTTCCTGTTTAGCTGTTACTATCGGGGTGATTTTAGTGTTTAACTGAATTATTTTTCAGGGTTTGTTGCCTCGAGGGGAGCATCCCAACCCACTGAGGGAGAAGAACTCTGCTGTAAACAAGCTCCCTTCTCTCCTGGCCTGGCACCACGGCTTGGCCAGGCTCAGCTCTTGGATCTGAGCGGAGAGTTGGTCCACTCAGACGGAACCGTTAGCTCCCAGGACATGTTCGACTACCTCCACCTGACGTCGGCGGGTTACCGCCTTGTCACCAAGCCCCTCTATGACCTGCTGCTCAGATCCTGGAGGAGACGCCCGAGGAGAGAAGGGCATCACTGGTTTGAGGGCTGGAGAAGGGCTGCACATCCCACCTAGGAGCACGCTCGCCCCCAGCTGCTGTGGGGTGGGGAGGCGTGCTCCTGGTACCTGGAGGAGGACGGGTTGATGGAGTGAAGGTGTGAAGAGGGAGAGAGATATAAACTACAGATATAAACACTGATTAGAGCAGGAATATTTATTGGAAAACATCACCACCATCTCACTTCTGCAGTAACCACACAAATCCATCCAGTCACAACCTTTAGTTGGCTACAAGCAGAATTCTGTGTGCTGCAGTCCCAGTTGGAATGATGTCACAAAGCCCTCAGCGGGATGTGACACTATCCTGTCTGAGCAGAAAGCACATGTTGACTCCTGACTTTTGCAGCTTTGTTGCAGCTCAGCGTGCATGGTAAAACAATTCTCTGTGACTCCATATCATGTGTGTACTTCCACATCTCGTCTTCCAAACACCCTCAGCAAGCGAGAAGCTTTGGTTCCATCCAGAAAGTTTGTTTTGGTAAGCAACGTGTCGCAGATCAGGGTTAAACGACCATGATGTCAGTATGGGGTGCAGTGTGTACATTAATGAGTCGTCCTACGCCGCTCACTCTGATGTTCCTCATGTACAGTCTGACTATGCCATAGTATTTTAGCATTGTCAGCTGATTGTATAGATACTTTCCCTTCTCTCCTCCTGGAATCCTCACCCCTCCCCAATTGTAGTGGTAAATAGTTTTCAGTAATGAAAGCAAATCCACGTGATTAAGCTAATACTATCATGCTAGCCGCTAGAAGGCAATCACAGACCGCCGATGAAGGTGAAATCATGGGTGAGCTTTTTGCTGCAGACAATAGGAATCCAAACTCCTGTCGACACAATGCTGTCGTACACACTAGTGTGGTGTGTTAAATGTAAATAGTGTGTGTCTGTGCCTTAAGTGTTTGCGAGGGATGGTTGTGAATGTGTGTGTGTGTGTTTGGAGGACTGATCGTGTACAGGATATACGAGGAAAGATTGAAGCAAACATTTGCACTGTTATGGCTTGTTATCATGTTACTGAGGTCAAACATTCCAATAAAAATAAACCTGACCATGTGTTTGTGTTTCTGCTCATTAGTAAATGATGTGCATCATGTGACTGGGTTGTTTAACATTTGTAGTAGGAGGAGCTTCACAGCTGGAGTTTAGTCCAGTCAGCAGCAGAGGAGCACATCTGTAACGACACTAATGATGCTCGCTGCTTGTTCCCCGTCTTGTTTCTTAACTCTGATTGTTGCTCATTGCTTAATGAATTTCTTCCACCGGTTTT